GGGCGGGAGCCCCGCCACACTTCCTGAGCGGCGCACTATCCAGTGCGCCACCGGGCCGGCCCTTTTTTTCCAAATTTTTAAAAACTTTATTAAAAATATTTTAACATTTACTTGTATATACTTGTGGGGTACAGTGTGTTGCTTCAATACATGCATATACTGCCCAATGATTCACTTAGGGTAGATGGCATAAGCATAGTTTTGTACACATTAGTCCACCACAAATATTTTTGATCTATGGTTGGCTGAATCCACAGATGCAGAACACATGGATATAGAGAACTGACTGTATATATCTTTTCCAGTATTTTTCCAGTCAGCCTGCTGGGGGCTACTTTGTTGTGTTTGTCAATTAATCTTTCCTAAAAATAAAAATAGAAGAATAATACTGCTCATAGGGCTTTTATTATTATTTTTATTTCAAAATACTTCTTCTAGATTCACTTATATTTGAAGGTCTGGTTCAATTGCAGCAAACATCATTAGTCCATTAAGTCTTTTACTTTTTGAATATTTAATAGGTATAAGTGCTGGGATACATGTCGTTAAAACATGGCCCCTGCCTTCAGGGAGCTTATAGGATCCTAATTTGTATTGATCTTTAAGGCAGTTCACATTGTATTTTCTTAAATGAATTGTGCAATCATACCACCACCGAAGTTGTCAAATATTTCTGGAATCTGTAGTCTCCCTTTTTCTGTTAAATCTAAAGCCTTTAATGAAATTGAAACATGACCTAAAGGGAGGATCTTTTAAAGAAAAATTGGGGGACATTTCATGAAATGTGATTTATACCTGATGTGAGCCTTTTGAGAATTATTGTGGCCATTGAAATTTAAAATAGGAAACAACTTCTATTAAATAAAGCTTACGTTTATCTCCCCTTTTAAAGTATAAAACGGTAAAATATTGGAATAGATTATTGATTCTTGGCCATTATCCATTTAAAGTTTAGCAGCTAAGTCATGTGCTGGAGTTTCTATATCTTTAAAACTGGAAAAGATGGAACAGTTTGAGTGTGGGAAGGATCATGTGAGCCGGCCCTTAAGCACAGAGTCCAGGAGGGGGCGCAACTCAGTTCTTCACCTCTGGCTCCCTTTATCTACTGAGGAAAAGGGGTGCCCAGGGTGGAGATATGGGGCAGCTCTTTCACCATCATCACCTTATGGCACCCACATCTCAGTGGACTTGGGGTCTTTCCTTCCTTTTCCTCTAGGAGAAGCTTCAGGGTGTCCTCCCACTTCATCCCCTTCTTAGCAGGCCACTGGGTGCTTTCTTTCCACTCTCACGAGCTCTCTCCCTCTTAGTTCTGAGATGTCAGTCTCTTACTTCCATCTAGGCTTCTCCTGAGTGAACCAGAAAGGGACTTCTAGTCTCAATGAAAATGCCTGTTTTCAGAAACATGTTCCACGATCTCCCACTCTAAAATTAGTTCCTTCATTTTCTCACCCCTTCTGTTATTTCCTCTCACAGAACCTACTCTTTTTCCTCATACTTTATAGAAAGGAATATTTCATTCCCATTTGGGATACTTACTTGTTAATCCTTGCTTTCCCCATCTAATTGGAAGCTACACGAGATCTATCTTGTTTACTAATATTTAGCCAGAGTATCGCATGTGTTCAGTAACTCAGAATGCTTCAGACACTCTACAAATAAACAGGTGGCTCCTTTTAGATACACTGGGTTTTTATTTTTAAGCTATAAAATGTTTTTATTTGGTTAGATTCCAATGTTTCCCATCAAGCTAAACCAAAAACAATTTTTTTCTCCCTTATATCTAACACCGTAAAATTCTTGTTTTGTTATGAAGAATTATTCTACATTTTTGTCCTTGTCACTCTAAGCTGAAAGGTGGAAGGCTGTGTGATCCCACTGTGTTTGTCTCACTATAGGATGACCTTTATATATTTTTTTCTGTTACTTTCTCAATATAGAAGTTTTCAGTATGACTTTGAGTTGCCTACAGTTTTAAAGAAACAGGGAAAAAACAGAAAGCTTCCAAACTGGTTAGTCCAGTTAAAGCACTTAAGTGGCTTAAGCCTTTGATACTAGTTAAACCAGGCAAGGAAGTTAGTAAGACTGGAAGGCTTTCAAGGATAATTTACTCTTTTTTTTTTCTTTCACTCCATCTATGGGGGACTGTAAATGATGACATTTTTCTGCATGTGGCTTGGAAGAGGGGAGGGCATGGCCTGGATGAGAGCCCCACCACCACCTGCTTGGGGATTGGGGGACTGAATTGTAAGGTTTAAAGAAGATATTACATGGACTGCTCTGGCTTCCATATAGAATGAGCTCATGTGTTTTATGATTTTGAACTTGTCACTTCCCAGCTCTGGCTTCCTCCTCTGTAAAGTGAGGAGGATGTTGGCATGCCCTCGGCACCCCTCCACTCTGATAAATGTCTGTAGTCTAAGAAACAAATATTTATTGGTGGATTATATGCGACCTGTGCCAGAGATTCCTACCTGCTGCATAGAGTCTGCATTAAAATTTTATGTCAAGAGTAATGGGGAGAGAGTTTTGTTTGTCACCTTCACCAAAGAGAGGCATAAAGCCAATAGACAGTGGCCTGAGATTATTTGGAAGTGGGAGAGGGTAGTTTTTGACAGGGGCATGAGTACAGCTTCTTTGGGGAGATGGTGTATAACCTGGGACATCCATGATGAGCAAAGCAAGCCATGGGAGGAAGAAGATCGCAGGGGAAGGAGGTGTGAGCAAACGCCATTTAGTGTGACAGAACTTAGTAGGCTCAAAAAGTGACAGCAGCATCCTGTTTAGAATGGTGTGGAGGAGAGAGCACAGACAAAGCTGGTGGGGTCTGCAGGGAGCAGATTATGCAGGGATTGTGGGCCAGGAAGAGATTGATACCAAAGTGCATGGAGCAGGTTGATTTGTGGAAGGCAAGGACTCTGGCTGATGTGGGGAGCCCATGCTGGTGAGGACAGATGGGATTGGGAGACGAGACAGAAAGTGTCCAAATGAGAGATGAAAGCCTCCTCCAGCACGACCTGCTCTAGATGTGGAAGGTGGGCTCCTCTGAGGGACATCCTGGAGATATGGGGACAGGATTTCTGGGATTGTGGGATTTTACTTTTAAAATTTTTTTATCTTGCCTTTGATTCTCTTCTCCCATTATCTCCGTGAGGACATGAATGAATTCACTTATTGTGTGCCTTTTTTGTTTATGCCAATGCCTAGAGCAGGACCAGGTCCTTGGTGCTCAGCATGCACTTGGTGGATGAAGGAAAGCATCGGTCTTTGTGTCCATGCTCTATATATCATGTCAGTACTCCAGCCCATGAGATGGTCTTGAAGAAGGCAGCAGATGTTCAAAGTGGCAGGAAAGTCAGGACCAAACCACACATTCTGGGGTTTCCTTTAAGAATGAGAAACTGAACCCTAACATAGGGCCAATGTATGCCCCAAGGACAATCCATCCAATGCCACTTGTTTGCCCCCCGTGCCCCACTGATTGGGTTAGGTGCCAGTTCCTCTGTATCTCATGGTAGCCTGCTCTTGCCCCAACACCCCACTTAGGATTTTGCACCTCACTTGAGGGTTTATGTGCCTGTGTCTTCCCAGTAAACTAACTGCATGCTTCGTGTGTCTCCTGCACAGTGGTGTGCCTGGCATGGGCACCTGAGTGTCTGACACCTTGCTGGTGCTCAATGAATATTTGTTCATTGAATCACTCCTCATCACCAGTCTTCCAAGTTGCTGAAATCTAGAGAATGTAAAGCACTTCTCCAATGGTTATTTTATTTCCCCTTGTTAGGTGGTCAGGGCAGGAATTCCCCCCATTTTGCACATGTAGAAGGTAAAGCCTAGAGTACTGGCTCTCAAGTTTGTTTGTGCATTGTGATAGTCACCTGGGCAGTTTAAAAAAAGTCACATGGACATGTGACATGATGCATTAGTCACATGGGCAGAATTTTTCATTTTAATGCTATGGGATTCTGCCTGAGAGAGAGAGAGAAAGAGTGTGTGTGTGTGTGCGTGCGTGCACGTGTGTGTGTGTGTGTGTGTGTGTGTGTGTGTGTGTGTAAGAACCCCAGGTGATCCTAATGTCCAGCAAAGTTTCAGAATTCCTGGCTTCTCTCAGTGCTTCTCAAACTTTAATGGGCATACAAATCCCTGGGGATCTTTATAAAATGCAGATTCTGATTCAGTAGGTTAGGGGGGAGACCCAAGATTGTGCATTTGTAAAAAGCTCCTGGTTGACGCCAAAGCTGCTGTCCACACTTTTGTAGCAGAGCCTGCATGTCAGGGAGCTCTGATATCCCGAGAAGAGTGGGTAGAGCACATGCTGAAAGACAGGCTAGAGCATGTCACAGCTGCAGCATCAGATACAAAGAGACACGTACTGTGCCATGAACTTGGATACCAAGACTGGGATCGGGTGGGCTTGCCTAAGTCCCCTCCTTCTTCTTGATTTAGCAGATATGCCTCTTTATGATAGTGCAGCTCATCTGATTCCTGAGACCCCCACTTAGAGATCATCACTCCTTCCTCTGCCATCCTCACGCCTCCTTTTATGTATTACTTATGAAATCAAGATGGAATACCTTTGTTTTTACCACCTACACCAAGAACTCCTGAGGGAGGGAGGCTGTTTTTGTATTCATCCCTCTGTCCAGTGTCTGCCAGGTCATAAATCCACAGGCACCCAGGATGTCACCCGGCTCAGCCCTTCAGGCACAGACATCAAGATTGGCAGCCCAGCAGTTAGAAGCACTGCCTCCAGAGGCGGAGAACTCTGAGTGCCAAGACTAGCTTTCCTACTTGCTGTCTTGGCCTTGGTTTTCTCCTCTGTAGCATGGGGGTGTTCATAATCGCATCTTGTAATGGAGCAGATAAAAATGAGGTGATACATGTCCAGCACTTAGCACAGTGCCTGCATGCGGGAAGTTGTCAAGAAACAATTGCTAAAAAATCAACCCATGCAAAAGGGATGCGTGGAATTACGAACATTTTCTTTGTGCTTGGCCTTTTAGTCAGGTCTCATAAGGACACGAAAAAATGAATTCCTCATCTCGCCATTACCTCAGCTGCTGGCCCAGGAACACAACTACAGTTTCCCTGGGGGCCACCATCCTCACGTACTGTACAAAAGGACAGCAGAGGAGAAAGTCCAGCGGTACCGTGGCTACCCCGGCTCCAGCCGGAACGCTCCTGGTCACTCCCCACGTCTCACTTTCCATGCATCTCAGAGCCAAGAGAGAGAGTATCACCATCGAAGGTTGCAAAAGCAGCATTTTTGTGGACGACGCAAGAAATGTATGTAAGGAAACTTTCTTGTTCTGTTCTCTGTGGGCCTCCACGGGTTTTCTTGAGTACCGTTGGGTGTGCGGACTTTGCAGGTTAAAATGGGGCTACGCTGAGCACCGCCTGCAATTTATCTTGGAAAAAGACCAGTGATCATCTCTGTCAGGCAAAAGCTGGGTGATGCATTCTTCTAGGTTAACCAGGAAAGAGTGAGATATGTTTTCTTGTTGCTCTTTTCATGTCTGCTGCATTTAAGCCGCAGGTCCCAATCTTATCTTGGTTTCTGTCCTCTTGGGAAAAGTACCTACAGTTCAAATGCCTAGGAGTGGTTGGGTGTCCTTTTGGTAACATGAAGAAAAGACTCCCCAAGAAACAAGAATATTGGCACGTGAGGGGAGGTGGCAGTGAAACACAGAGATCCTTGGACAGGGTTTGTGACCCAGGAACAAACTTCTGTGTTTTCTAGACCAGCAATGTCCAATAAAAAAAAAATGCAAGCCCCAAATATAATCTTAAATTTTCTAATAGCCACATTTAAAAAAGGTTAAAAAAATTAAATTAATTTTAATTTAATTTAACATTTTATTTAACCCAATATATACAAGATATTATTATCTCAATATGTAATCAATATAACAAATTATTAATGTGGGATTTTACATTCTTTTTTTCATATTAAGTTTTGGAAATCCAGTATTTATTTTATACTTAACAGCACAATTTCAATTCAGATGATAAATTTTCATCAGAAATACTTTGTATTTAAATTTTATAAAATTTAAGGTTGAAAAAAGTAGATTTACATACTCAAGTTGTTCCAAACCTACTTAAAAGTTTTTCAATAACTAAATCAAGTGTTGCTATTTTAATTTAAATTAAATTAAATTAAAAATTTAATTTCTCCATTGCATCAGCCACATCTCAATGGCTCAGTAACCACAAATAGCAAGTGGGCACCGAGTTGGACAGCAGAGCCAGATGCGGGTTCTCTTGGAGAAGAGAAACTGGCATCACTGAGATATTAATCAGGAGCAGTAACGAAAGACAGTGTTTCTCCTTTTTTAATTGGTTTTGGGTTTTTTGGTGTTTTTGAAATATTCTCATTAAGGAACATTCACTTAGCATGTATCTATAATAACAGCAGTACAGTGGTCCCCCCTTATACTCGGGATATGTCCCAAGACCCCCAGTGCATGCCTGACACTGCAGATAATACCCAACCCTGTATGTACTATGTGTTTTCCTATACATACATACCTCTGATAAAATTTAATTTGTAAATTATGCACAGTAAGAGATTAACAACAATAACTAAAAATGAAATAGAACAATTATAACAATATATTGCAATAAAATTTATGTGAGTGTGGCTTCTCTCTCTCTTTCTTAAAATATCTTATTGTTCTGTACTCAGCTATTTTCAGACCATGGTTGACTGATGAAAACAAAACTGCAAATAAGGGGGGACTATGGTATTAATAATAGTCATGAGATTTATAGTGCTGAGGATACATATAGTGGTGATGATATCAAAGTGGATCTTTAGAGCAGCCTTATGAATAGGTATCATACTCTGCATGGATGAGAAAACCGAGACTCAGGGTCAAAGGGCTGGTAAGTGGCCAACCCGAGTTTTTAAAATCTAACTCTACGTGATCTTTTAATTTCACTCTGTGGAGAGCTGACTTCACTTAGTAAGGCTCTACCTGTTGTTGTAGGATTAAAATATTTTTATGCTAGTTAGTATATAGTTACTGTCCTGAGCCTTCCAAATGTCCTTTTCCTTCCTAGGAGTCCTTGGATTTGTCACTATCCATTAGCTAAAGGTCATGTCTTGCCTCCCGGGTGCTTTCAGGTCTCTGCTCAAAGGCTGTGGACAGTATTCATTTTGATAAGTTGGTGCCCACACCTTACCAGTTTAGAAAAGTGTTTGATACAGTTTTTAGTATGACCCCTGACTATGCTGTTTCCACAATAATTAAGTCAAAATCAGGTCAAAGAGCCCTTACTGACCACTTACATTGATGGGACAAGAGTATAAGGCATGGGCAGTGTTTTATAAGAGTTACATTTTATTTAGAAAATAATGTATAAAGTGTTGTCATGAGGGCTGGCCCGTGGCTCACTCGGGAGAGTGCGGTGCCGATAACACCAAGGCCACGGGTTCAGATCCCATATAGGGATGGCCGGTTTGCTCACTGGGTGAGCGTGGTGTTGACAACACCAAGTCAAGGGTTAAGATCCCCTTACCGGTCATCTTTAAAAAAAATAAAAATAAAAATAAAGTGTTATCATGAATTCAGATCCAAAGGATAATGTCTGTTTCTACAGTTTTTGAGTAATAAGATGAGCATTTTTTTTCCTTTTAAAAGACTCCTCCCACAAAGTTGACTTTTGTTGACTTGCTCTACCAACTAGAATTGTAGCTTGTTTTCTTTTGCTCTTTAGAGCATTTTTGAGTTACTGAATCCACCCATCCACCCACCCATTCATCCATCCACCCACTTATCTACACATCCATCCACTCATCCATGTAGTTATCCACTCATTCACTCATCTTCCCATCCAGCCATCCATTCATCCATCCATTTATCTACCCACCTGTCCATCCATCCACCCACCCACCCATCTATCCATCCACCCATTGACCCACCCACCCACCCATCCATGCATCCAAACATCTCTTGAGTGGATCTTTCTTGACCACATAATAGGTACAAAGTGTGGGAGCGGGCACTGACAGCATTACTTGTTAGTGGATTAGTGAAGTGTCGGTTACATAGTTTTTCTCCTCCTCTTGTTTAGATTACTCTCTCAGTCTATCTCACCCAGATAATCTGTACTGATATCCCTTCCAAATGCTCTTATGTTCATCGTAGATGCCCCCAAGCCTCCCACAGAGGACACCTATCTAAGGTTTGATGAATATGGGAGCTCAGGGAGACCCAGAAGATCAGCTGGAAAGTCACAAAAGGGCCTAAACGTGGAAACCCTTGTGGTAGCAGACAAGAAAATGGTGGAAAAGCACGGCAAGGCAAATGTCACCACGTACATTCTCACAGTAATGAACATGGTAAGGGAGGTTGTCATGAGCCCTCTGGCTCTCCAAAGGAGCTGGAAATCATAGGATCCCCTTGCATGGATTGCATAGCAAATATAGCCACATGGTTTTACTGAAAACAGAAAGTTGAGTTTTGAGGAAGTTGTCTTCATGTGTACATGTTTGTGGTAAAATTGAAACCTACAGACTTGTAAATATGTCTGATTGGTTTCCCCCATACAGTTTTGAAAATTTTGGATTTTGTTTGATTTCCATTGTTTCAACAGGTTTCCAGCCTATTTAAAGATGGGACTATTGGAAGTGACATAAACATTGTTGTGGTGAGCCTCATTCTCCTGGAACAAGAACCAGTAAGTGGCAAACTTCATTTATTTCTTTATTTATTCTGCCATTCAGGATATATTTATTGAATACCAACTCTGTGCCAATTCATGTGCGAGTCGTTGGAAATTCAAATTTGAAAATATGCTGACTCTATCCTCAAGGAATGTGCAATGTAGTAAGGCTGTGTAATAAAATAATTAAAACACCACAAAATAATTGTTATATATAAATATACTTTATAGATAATACATATGCATATGTAAACACAAACAATGGCACATAAAATATTGTTAAATATACATATACGATATAAATAAAAATATAGATATTATATAAAGAAAATACTAATATTATGTAGGCTTCACAAGGAAGGTGAATTAATCACACATTTAAAGATTAGTTGGATTTTGCAAGTTGGATATGCCGGGTAATTGCAGGTAGATGCAAAAATATTTCAAAAATATACTGAAAATTAGTTATCAGAAAATTCTTGTAGTAAATCTGCTGTTTCTCCAGCACCATCTTAGGTGCTACAGAGAATAAACAAGGGATATTTAACTGCCTTCAAATTGATTACAGTCGGGTGTAGGACACAAACATGGGCAAATTATAAAACTAGAACATATAATAAAGTGTTAAATTGCATGGTACTTACTGCTTTGTAGTGTTTTGATGTTTAAACTGTATTTTTCTGAGATAGAGATTACCAATAAAACAGACTACTTTTTAAGTCCCCTGAGGCTTTTCCTCTTCATTTGTAACCCCAATAAAGAATGTAACAAGCAGGGAGTCAGAGACAAGAAAAAATTGATCTAATTGCCCAGGTGTGTAGGGCTACAGAGGCTAACAACTTGTAAAACTGTTCTTGGAATTTTAGAAAGATAGAAAAGGGTGTGTGTTGGTTGGAAGACACTTTTGTCTTTAGCCTACCACTTAGACATTGCCCAAGGACATTGAAGGCAGCGGCATCCTAATTCACTGATAATTAAAGATCGTGTCTAAGAACCCTCAACTTGACCCGAAGTCAATAGTTTTGACTAAGCAAACATTTTGATAAATCATTCTTTTAAGGGTACATCCTGTCTTACCCATTAGAGTCTTATAACTATGTGTTTATTCATTCAGTGAATTTTCATTTTATCGATGGATTGACCAATTGTAACCTATGATGTGCCAAACCCTCTGCAAGAAGTTTTGACATTGAGTTAAATAAGCTATGGTCATGTGCTCTATTGAAGAAGCCATTGAACTTTATCACATTAATTTATTATTATGTTCTAAAAGTTATAACAGTTTTATGAAGTTAGTACCAGGTAAGATGAACAAAGGTGTTCCTAATTGATACACAGTTATTTGTTGTAAAAATATAATTGATTATAAACTACACTACTGAAACTTTATAGTTTCTATAAATATTGTGAGCATTTAACCTACAATAGATTTTTTTCCTGTCTCCTACCTTAGCTCAAGTTTTTTCCTCTACTGACCTTTTCCCCTAGAAACATGATGTTTCTGTGTTTGCCTGTACAAATGGAACGATTCCATGTTCTCATCTCTGTGACAAATTCACACTCTGATTTGCATGGGTTTCCCATAGGGTGGATTATTGATCAACCATCATGCAGACCAGTCTCTGAATAGTTTTTGTCAGTGGCAGTCTGCCCTCATTGGGAAGCATGGCAAGAGGCATGACCACGCCATCCTACTCACGGGATTTGATATTTGTTCCTGGAAGAATGAACCGTGTGACACTCTAGGTATGGTATGAATAGATTCATGCACAACTGATAGCTGAAAACAGAATATGGAAACTTTTTATTGAATGGGTGAACCATATGATCCTCAATAAAAAGACCTAGTATTTAAATTGTGGAGCATCCTCATTGTACCACTGGTGAATATTGTTCTATTTAACTGAACTCAGTGTGGAATGGAGAGCTCATGTACTTTATTCCTTTGGTATTTTTCTTTATTGACCCTGTTGATGATCACCGGGTCATGAGATATAACGTTGTTTAAATAGAAAAGTTGTAGGTTATTCCATAAGCATCATAACCACAGATCCAAGTAGCTGAAGAGACTTTGACTGGTCTCCATGTCTATTAGTCTGTTTTGTGTTGCTATAACAGAAACTGGGTAATTTATAAAGAGCAGAGGTTTATTTGGCTTATGATTCTGGGACAGCTGCATCTGGCTCGGGCCTCAGGCCAACTTCTTCTACTCATGGCAGAAAGCAGCAGGCAGCCAGCAGCGGGTACAAGCAGATCACATGGCGAGAGGAAGCAAGAGAGAGAGAGAGGGGAGGGGCCTGGGTCTTTTACACAAACAGCTCTCGGGGGAACTAATAGAGCGAGAACTCACTCATCTATCCCCCCAACTAGGGAGAGCATTAATCCATTCATGAGGGTTCTGCCTCCATGACCCAAACTCCCACACTGGAGATCAGATTTCCATGAATTCTAGGAGGACAATACATCCAAACTCCATCACCATGGTACTTAACTGTGCCTAGGCAGAAAGTTATTTGACATTGGAGGACTCAATTCTTCCCTATTTGTACAAGGCAGTAAAAGTAAGAACTGTACGAGGTACTTCAAAAAGTTTGTGGAAAATGGGATTAAAAGGTAGTATAAATCTTCCCATGAACTTTTTGAAGCCCCTTCATGTCTTTTACATCTATCCTACATTTTCTGCTGTATTCCATTGCACATAGTAGGAATGCAACACTTCTCATGGTCAATTGATGATCATCTGGATTGGGGATCAATAAACTTTCTCTGTAAAGGGCCAGGTAGTAACATGTTAGGCTTTGCAGGCTGTGGGTCTCTGTTAAAACTACTCAGTTCAGCTGTATTAGTGCAGAAGCAGCCATAGACAAAACATAAACAAAAGAACAGGGCTATGTTCCCATAAAACTTCATTTACAAAAACAGAAAATAGGAGCCATAGTTTACTGACACAACTGATGATCCAGACTAGTAGTAAAATTTGGGGGAGCTTAGAAAAGTTTATGGGATTTATCTCAATCATTTTCTCTTTTTGGTAGGATGTACAAGGGGCAGTTATTTCTTTTTCTTTTTTTTTTAATAATTGAAACATAATTGATTGTACGTATCTGTGGGGCCCAGCATTGAATATCAACACCAGTGTGCAATATGTGATGTTCAAATCAGGATAATTAGTATATTTGTCATTATACAATGTATAGATTTTCATGACCCTTTGCCAATTCCTCCCTTTCCCCTTTCCCATCTCTGGCAACATCAGTTCTGTTCTCTTAAAAAGTTCAATGTATTACTGTATTTATTTGTTTGTTTGTTTTATTAGCTACCACATATATGTGAGGATGTGGTATTTCTCTTTCTGTGCCTGGCTTATTTCATTTAACATAATTTTCTTTAAGTTCATCCATGTTGCAATGGCAGTATTTCATTCTTTTTTATGGCAGAATAGTATTCCATTGTATAAATACAGCACATTTTTCTTAACTATGCATCTCATGATGGGCATTTAGGTTGGTTCCAACTCTTGGCTATTGTAAATAGAGCTGCAGTAAGCATGAGAGTACTGGTGTCCCCTTGACATGATGATTTCCATTCCTTTGGGTGTAGACCCAGCAGTGGAACAGCTGGGTCATATGGTAGATCTATTGTAATCTTCTGAGGAACCTCCATACCGTTTTCCATAATACACCATTTTACAATCCCACCAACAGTATAGGAGGGTTTCCCCTTCTCAGCACCCTTGCCAGCATTTATTATTCTGTCTTTTTTATAATAGCCAGTGTAACTGAAGAGAGATATCTTAGTGTGATTTTGATTTATATTTCCCTGATGCTGAGTGATGTTAAACATTTTTTCATGTGTCTGTTGGCCATTTGTATATCTTCCTTTGAGAAATGCCTATTCAGCTCCTTTGCCCATTTTTAATCAGATTCCTTGTGTTTTTACTGTTAAGTTGTTTGAGTTCCCTGTACATTCTGGATATTAATCCTTTGTCAAATGCGTATTCTGCAAATATTTTCTCCCACTCTTTTGGTTGTCTTTTAGCTTTGTTAATTGTTTCTTTTGCTGTGCAGAAGCTTTTTAGTTTGATATAATCCCATTTGTTTATTTTTCCTTTTGTTGCCTGTGCTTTGGGGGTTGTATTCAGAAAGTCTTTGTCCAGTCCTATTTCCTGAAGTGTTCCCCCTATGTTTTCATTTAGGAGTTTTATAGTTTCAGGATGTATATTTAATTCTTTAATCTATTTTGAGTTCATTTTGGTATATGGCAAGAGGTTACCTGCATCATTTTTTTCCTCAAAGTACTTTCTAATCTCTTATGACATATTAGAGATAAAGGTAGAGTGAACTTTAGAAAAATTTTTATTTTGTGTTTGAAATTTCCCTGTATGTCTATATTATGTCCTATAAAATAAGTTTATTTTAATAATTTGCCATTAATCACAGTCTTCAAGAAACATAACCATTTTGGGAGTTGTCCCATAGAAAGAGTTTTTTATAATGGTAGATGGTACATTCATTCATGTTCTGAGTTTGGAATGTGCAATGTGACATTTGTGAACCCAATGCATTGTTGATGTTTTGAAGAGAGATTCTGAGAAGGAAGCAGTTTTATCAGTCAATCAGAGACCCAAATGTAAGGAAAGCCTTGGGAAAACAAATACAACACCAGGAATCTCATAAACTGTTCTATAGGTTACTTACTTTAAGCAGCATATTCTAATGCAAAGAGCATGGGCTTGGATTTCACATACGTCCGTGCTTGATTCGTGAGTCTACAACTGATGACCATGAGATCTTGAGCAAGGTAATTCAACATTCTGAGCCTCAGTTTCCTAATCTATAATTATATACATAAACATAGACATACACTAGATGTATAGTACAGTGTGTGGTATTTGGCTACCATTTATTTAGAGATGATGCTGATGGCGGTGATGATGATGGTGCCACCTATGGTCTGTGCCTTTATGTTAGATTTCACAGATGATCTTACTTACATCTTGGCAGTGAGGTTTATGCGATCAGTTCACAAGCATATATTTAATACTAAATGTGTACAGAGCCTTGTTCTACTGTTTATTAGGACTCAAATCTGGGACGAAAAACATTCACACACTGTAATGTAGAATAATTTTATAACTATTCTTAGAAGGAGGTAGCTTTTGGGAAAAGGAGCACTTATCACATTATAGTGAACAGGAGAAAAATGAATGTAACCTGCCCACATTGCTTAGGCATTTTCATATTCTCTGCTGTAGAAAAAGACCAGGATGTGTGTTTTCCTTTGGAAAATGTACCCTGCCCTTTGATGCTAATGCCACTATTAAGTGAACGTTTTGCATTGGTTTAGCTATCATTTTATCAGTTGCTCTAACCCAAGTAATAAACTTAGACAAGACATAAATTTTCTGTGACTAACTATTCCACATGTAAAATGGGTATTAAAATACTTACACTGACCTCATAGGGTTGTTAGGAGGGTCAATTGATGAAAATACCTAAATGCAAGAAAATGTGAAATGCTGCTTTTATATTTTCATTACATAGAGCAGAGAAATGTACACCATTAATATTTTCCTGAAAAAAATCACATGCATTAATCCATTAAACTAAAATGGTGTAGAACATTTTGAGGACAGAAGAAATGATCATGTTTCTGTGTGTGCCCCCTTTGGATTCACGTTTGAAATTGCTCTTTCAATAGGGTTTGCCCCCATCAGCGGAATGTGCAGTAAGTACCGAAGTTGTACAATCAATGAGGACACGGGACTTGGCCTGGCCTTCACCATTGCTCATGAGTCAGGGCACAAGTAAGTGGCTCCTTGATTCACCACTTTATGTGAAAATTGGTGAGGCGATTCATTGGTGTTCCTGTAATGATTATTATTGATCGGATAAATAGTTCCTGACTGTTTGAAGGGCTTAATAAAGGCTGGTTATAGTTGATGACATTCTTCAAATAACAGCATTTAATAGCCACACAGTATTACCTTATGTGCACAAATAGTCCACATGTTACTTAACCAACCCTCTGGTCTTTCAGGCATTTGTTTATTTTCTTTCACGTTATACTGTGGTAAAGATGCTTTTCGCTCTAATTCTTTATACTAAGGAAATAACATGGAGACATGTACATTTCCAGAATGTAATGGCATGCCAATTTAAAAAAAATTTTTTTGATGTACGTATTAGATATTCTTTTAGTTGGTTACATTGTGTGTATTTAATATTCTTTAAGTTGGTGTTAATAAATCTTCCTTTTGTGAGAATAGACTTAGAGATGAGGAATGAGAAACCTAAGAGTGATGAGATAAATTCATTTTATGAAGCATATAATCTGGCATGGAGACAATGCTACAGAGAATTTTCAAACTTTATTTGAACGCTAGCAGCTGCATTGGAAAAAGCATACTGCTTTACAAAATGACATTCACAGACTATAATGTAGTTTAAGATAGACTCTTGAGGGCTGGCTGGAATGATTTTATAACTTCTCTTGGAAGGAGGTAGCTTTGGGGAAAAGGAGCATTTATCACATTACAGTGAACAGGAGATAAATGAATTTAACCTGCCCATACTGGCCATTTATTCCAAAGGGCAGTGCCCTTTGGATATACAAATTTAGGAATGTTTGTGTGTGTGTATATATATGTGTGTACATGCATATGTGTATATTTTATTCAACAAATAACTTTTATACATTTTCAGAGCATCCAATGAATTTCTGCCTTAAAAGCAAATATCATTCATTCAGCAACTATATCAAAACTTATATTTTGATATTTTGAGGCTGGTATCTCTTATGAGTTAGATTTATTATCTTCAGGATATTTGAATCTTGTTACCCAACAGTTTCCCAGGATTTTATATATATACACACACAACCACTTTTTTAGTGAGGTATAAATGAACTGATTTTTTTGTGAACAGTGGTACAAAAATGTCTGTCAAGCACAAGTCTCTTCTGAAGAGAGCAGGAAATAAAATATCTGTTCATGTCAAACATTTGTATAATTTGTTTCACCAGCATGAAATCTGAATTAACAGGTCTCACTTTTCAAGATACTAGCTGTTGAAAATTTTAATCATACTTGTTATGGGTTAAAGTTATACAAAATCAAAATCCAACATTTTAGATAAGAAAAAAACAAAAACATATTCTTCAGGTATGTGGGAGAGAGGAGTCAGAGGTGAAGGAAGAGCTGATATAAAATAAGGCACATCTTCAAGTTCTGGATAACATGGCCTTATAGAGTTAAATTTTGAAACAGAAAACAGACAGTTCCTGAGTTTTAGAGATGACTTGTGACATGTGCTAAGGAAAATACGTATTATTTTCTAAAATATTGTTAAATCAAAGTTAGGAAATTTAAAAATTATAAGTTCAAAATTTAATTCAAATTTGGTTTTCTTATGCTCATAAAACTCCAATAAAGTGCTTATTAAGTACCTTTTTCTATATGAGTAATGGCTTCAGTCTCTCCCATCTGGGATTCTTGCTCTTTTCTCTGGTGGTTTATATTCAATATAGGTTGCCTTCTGTTTTTGACTAGGATATATGTATTTATAAAGAATGTCTCCCAAACAAATCCCCTTAGCTTGCTGGTTAAGTACAAAGAAGAGTCGAATTAGACAAAGCTGAGGATGACAAAATGCTTTTCCTGATTATACGGTGAGGTTAATAAATACCTATTTGTGAATAGTCACCTCTAAATACCTAGGAAATTCACTGATAGGATCACAGTATACAGCAATCCTGCTATCACTTGCCTGACAAATTGGAAGGAATGCTAGAAAAATGGCTAGATTATAGACATGGGTCACAACAAAATCATATCTATGGTTATAACATACTTATTTGGTATAGACTACCATTAAAGGATACTTATATAAATGAAATTATATCAGAATATCATGTTTATTTCCATAGCAATCTTATCTGCTTTATAAAAATATGTTTTCAAAAGGCAAATTTTACTCCTTTAAACAAAGAGATTAAGAACAATCTAATGATTAAATTTATATCTATATCCCTCCATTTTCTCATAGAATTCACTTAGAATAAGTCCTTCACATGCTTTCAATAGACAGATTCAACCATTAATTTTTAAAGATGCTTATATGGGAGTTTGAATATAATCAGTTTGTAATTTCAGCTAATAAATTGATCATCACTGGAGAGTTTTTTTGTGATGTTAGCCTCATGGGTGAACAGTCCATAAGCAACTTATATTCAACTTCTGTCTATTTCTACTCTTCACTCTGAACTTCCTTGCCATAGTTCTGCGATTGGTGTCAAAAAAAAAAAAAAGAATTTTTCTATTTGAAATAAAATAATTTGACTATCCCATTACTTTAGTTTAGCTTAGAAATCTTAACCAAAATTTTCTAGCCCTTAAAATATATAGCCAGGTACCTTATTCTTTGGTTTTGTGGCCAAGACATAATATAACAAAGCCCTTAGTACTCTTTAAAAATTTCTGCATAAATTTTTATAATAGTTTATAGTAACTAATTTTTGTCCTTCTCTTTCTTACAATTTCAGTAATTCTGTCTGTCTCTTGGGTTTGTTTCCTATCAGTGCATCATTTCTCTTCACCTGGTTATAACTTGGAAAATGGGTTCACAGTAGAGTTTTTGTTTTCTTTCTGTTTCAGCTTTGGCATGATTCACGATGGAGAAGGCAATCCCTGCAGGAAGGCTGAAGGAAATATCATGTCACCCACTCTGACCGGAAACAACGGGGTGTTTTCATGGTCTTCATGCAGCCGACAGTATCTCAAGAAATTCCTTAGGTAAGACAGGTTAAAGCTAGGGCTGTTCCCAGGTTTGTAGTGGTGAGAGAGAATAGTGCTCAATAGACAGGAAAACAAATACTCGTGGAAATCTCTTTTGACCTCTCAGTGAACGGAAAGATGGAGGTTGTAGTTGAAGAAACAGATTGAAGGCTTCTACTGTGCTAAATGTTCTCCTCATATGGTCTCATTTGGTTGTTACAGCAATCCTGTTATTATCCTCATTGCAGAGTTGAGGAAATTGAGCCGTAGAGAGGTTACTTGTGTTGCTTAAGGTACTATAGCCGGTAAGTTGCGGACAGGAGACTCACACTTAGGTCTGTTCTGACTCCAAGATCCGTGCTGATAACCAATACTCCTCAGTGATTTCCAGAGGCAGCTAGATATATTGTCTCTTTACTATGACTACTTATTTTAATCTGATCAATTCGCTTGTCCTAAGAGTATTAGAAATGCTCAAATGGTGGGAGTTTTTTTGTTTGTTTGTTTGTTTGTTTGTTTAATGAATGGAGTGTTTTCTTGATTGGCTGTTTTGTTTAAAATGGCCAATAGTTAGCTCTTATGTCCAAAAGACATCCAAGGGGGATGACAGCTACGTGAAATCTTTTGATAACTCAGAACTCCTAGATTGCATTAGTAAAAGTGAGAGTTAGGAAGGTAGGTAACACTATTTGATTCATATTAAACAATGGAACCAAAATTAAGTTATATGTATGCAAATATATGTTTTTAATTTACTTTGGCCTACAAGAACAGTTAGGTTCTAATCCCATCTCCCTTTGACTAGATGTTAGGGAAGTTTCTTTAGGAATTGATATTCTTGAAACTTTTTTTTACCTGTACCACTGCATATTATTTGCAAATGTTTATGGAATTAGCAAGATACTTAGGCAAAGCAGATTAAACGTAAGGATGTCTTACCAAATGATGTCCAAAGGGTAGTACAAAATTGACAAACCTTTTGCTAATAATAAACTTTGCCACATAGATTTTCTTGTTAGTTTTAAATTCAGGATTTGGGTTCTAAAACTATCTCTTCTAACTCATTTGAGAATGTAATCAATAAATATTATAAGTCAAGATCAACTTGATATAGACTGAATTTCCATCATTAATATGCTAAAGTTAAGTGACTTTGGAAATAATAATGGTAACAGCAGCAGTAGCAGCTAACTTTGAATGCTTACTCAGCGGTGTTAAGCATGTTACATTTTCTTGTTTGATTGGTGTAACAACCCTTTTGGGGGCCAACATCATCAATGAGTTGTATAAAAATCATATAACTTGGTTTTGCATGGTTGACTAGGACCCCATCTGTCTGATTCCAAAATTACGCTTAAATAGCCATACTATTTAACCTCTCAGTGATATCATAGTTTAATTGTTTAAGTTAATGGAGATAAGTGCTTTCTAAGAATATCCATGTCATCAAGATTGCCTTTTTTGTTCTCAAAACGTCCCAGTCAAACATACCTCAGGGATATTTTTCTGCCTCATGCTCATTGTACCCTTTCTCTTGATTATTTCAATAACCAATTTATTTTTGTTTGTAAAGCTTATTTGAGGTAAAGTACATCTTTGCCTTCTGCCCTATTATCTGTAAAAAATAAAGGATGATGGAAAACTGCATGAAGACAGGTATTGTCTCTGTCTGGTTTATTTTGTACCTTTGGTGCTTAGCCTAATGCTAAGTAGCACCTAATAAAAATTTGTTGAATATTGTTAAACAAAACTGTTGATGGGAGTTTTCAAATATGTTGATCTTTCCCATCTTTTATCAATTCCCAAGAACTCCCAGCACCGTAAAACCCATCCTGGCTGTGTACATTCCATCCTCTCAGACAGACCTCACTCTTTGGAGTAAACCCATGTTTTAACTTCAGGCATAGACCTGTTTGTCCAACCATGCTGTATTTTTCTTTGCATAAATGCATTCAGAGGTGTCTCGTTTTACATGGAAAGATCACAGGTCAACACAGTAATTAATAGGGGTGTTATCACTACAGCACACCTCAGGCTGGGTGTCTCGTGGACGAGCCCAAAAAAACAGGACAGTATAAATACCCGGACAAGCTGCCAGGACAGATTTACGATGCTGACACACAGTGCAAGTGGCAATTTGGAGCAAAAGCCAAGTTATGCAGCCTTGGTTTTGTGAAGGTATGTTTGCTTGTGATTTCAGACTTACATTAAGATTCTGCAATGTGTCTGTGTACCTAACAGAAGTATAAACATTTGGCTTGCTAAGGCCAAGGGTCAGAGTCTGGGTTATCTCTAAAATGTCAGTTGTTTGGCATGATAATTAAATGGCAATTTTACTGTCAATGAATTATCCAGGCTTATCACCCATAGACTGTGCTGGTTTAAATACCATTTAACTGCATCCTTGGAATAAAATTTCTCTTCCTTAAATGAATACTTTATCCCTAGTAGTAAATCTGGGAATAACTTTTAGCTACTGCTAATCACTGTTTTTGTTCTCTTTGTGTTCATATTCCCTTTTATGGTAATACATTTTAAATCATCACCACCCCATAATGCATCATATGCCTTATATAGTATGGGAAAACTGTTATTGTCAGCCAACTTATGACATGCAAAAATTCAAGGTATATCTTGAATAATCTTAATAAGATTTTTGTCTTTCATTCAAAAATTGTGAAAAAGACAAATAGAAAAATGCAGAAGTCTAGGATGTAAAAATGAAAAAACCTTGTTCCACTTGGTCCAGATTTTCATCACTGACAGTTACTGTCTCAATACCACCAAAAAATAGAATCATTTTGAAGTTGGTTTATTCCCACTGTCCAAAGAGAAATACGGAAGTCCTAGATACTGGGATACATGGAAGTTCTGCAGGTTTATAGCTCCTCTTCCTCTCTCTACTCCTATCAGTCCTTTTTTTTTTTCTGCTCCTCCTTTCTCCTTATTCTTAATTCTCTACCACCACCCACCACCACCACCACCGTTATCACCATCACCACCAGCGGTAGCAACACCACCTCCTCACCACCACTCAACCACTTCTCACCACCACCATCTACCACCATCCACCACCACTATCATCCAACCTCCAACACTCCTTATCCTTACCACCACCTCCACCACCATCACTACCATCACTACCATCATCCGCCACCACCATCACTACCATCCCCCCACACCAATATCACCCACCATCATCACTACTCCCACTATCATCACCATAACCACCATTAAGCATCATCACCATCTACCACCACCACCATCATCACCATAACTACCACTGTTATTGGGACCTCTCATCTCCTGGCTGAGCCTCCCCAAAATTTGATACCAGGCACACAGGTCTGGTTGCCCACCCTCTTTCAAAACCAAACCACTCAGAAGCCAAATATTGGTGAAAATGGAAGTCAGCTTTTATTCAGGAATCCTGGTGACCCGAGGA